AGCTCTCCCCCCAGTGCTCAATGGACAACGTCATATCACGATCTTGGAGATCGTGAATACTCTGAGGCCCACATTCCCATGATGCCGGCATGCTCGCTATGCAAGTGCCAAGTAGCCGTCCATCCATCGTCTGTTCCCTCCCTCGTCAGTCATCACATCCCCCCGCCAATGGTATGTTCCCTTTGGGAACGCCAAGTCACCGAAGGCCCCGCTAGTCATTCCTCATTGCACGCTCATGATGTCAACCTGCTACCGGTATGTTCGCGCTGTGAATGCCAAGTAACCGATGGCAGTTATACAAAGTTCTTACCCACCTCATGAGTCACGACCACGCACACGGTACGCTCCATCAAGGAGTGCCAAGTACCCATGGCTGACCCGTCCATCCTGACGTCTCCGACTACCTACCATCAATTCCTTAATAGCTCACTACATCACCAACCACGATCGATGGGAATTCGATCGTCCACTCCCATGCAAGACTGGGATCACTCATCAATTACATATCCCATTATGGTACAGACTTCGTCATCCCTCTATAAGAATGGATCGAGGAAAGGGGATTTCTCCCCATCCCTGTAACACATGGCATCGAGCTCCACCATAAAGTCGTCCATAGTGATTGCGGGAGATCCCACTGTCAGCAGCGTGATCGTGCACTGTGTCACCCATGCTCCCACAGCTCCTCCTTTCATGTACGACAAGACGAAGAGGATCTGGGACAGAGTGTCAGGGAACTCTGCTGCGCGGACATGGAAATAGATCCTGCATTCCGCCTTGAAGCGGTTGAGGTCCTCGCTCGCACCAGTGAAGGTGGTGGGTGTGGCGACCTTGGGTGCTTTGGGTTTGGGTGCAGGTGTGGGTGCGGGTGCGGGTGTGGGTGGTGGGTTTTGGATTCTGCTCTCGAGGATTGCTTGCAGTTCCTGGAACCTGGTCAGCAGGTCCTGGTACTGCTCCTCAGTCACCATGCTGGAGGAGGCGGGGGAGACTAAGTTGAAGCCTTCTTCTGCTGTCAGGGATGGTACAGGAGAGGCAGGGGTAGCGGCGTAGCCCCCAGCGCTAGCGGCCTGGGTGGCAGTGGAGTGGTGGGAATGTATAGCGAATGGCCCTCACTCAGGCTCGCGTCCCTGTCTGGCTTCTTCGGCTGAAGCAGTAGTGAGAAGAAGGCTGCTTCTTCGGTTCTGCTTCAGCTCGGTTTATATACAGGTGAGAACAGGTCACGTGGGGGGTGCCACGTCAGCCCGGGTGGAGCTGGGTTATCGCAGATGGCTCCGTGGGCGGTCCCAAGTGTCAGAGGGGAGAAGTACAAGTGAAGATGTGCGGCATATCCAGCGGTGCAGTATCCATGCAGGGTACTTGGCACCGGACATGTCCATGCTACATGGGTGAGGGGAGAGGTCGTCTGTATAAAGAAAGAAAGGAAAGAAAGAAGACAAAGGAGAAAGGGAAAGAGGGAGAGGAAGGAAAGAGGGGCAGCGGGAGGGTGCAGAGCGGTGTGCCCTGACACTATGAAATTAAGGACCAAATGGACAAACAGCAATGGCACAGTGCTCCGCTTGAGTCACTGAGGCCAAGGTCCCTCCTTGCTAAGTCTCCGGTTCCCCTCCAGAATCGTCTGCCCTCGCCCAGTTCTAACACAATCCCTGCTTAGTGAGTTTGAGGAGCTTGGGATAGGATCCAGCACCTGGCTGCCTGGGACACTGCAAGTGTCCAGCTCTGAGGTAGGGCCACCCCCGGACAGAGGCCAGGCCCTGACAGAAAACCACAATCAACATGCTAGAACTCACATATGAGTTCTTGAAAGGCATCATGCACCTTCATGGACTCCCAAGATCCATAGTGTCTGACAGAAACACTAATTTTATGTCCAAATTTTGAACAGAATTAAGATTACTTGGCGTTCGTCTAAAAATGACAACCACTTTCCATCCAGAAGGTGACAGACAAGCTGAACAAATGGTTCAGAGCATCATCCAAGTAATTCGTGCAGCTGTTCCACCAGATCAGTGTGACTGGGTACTAAAGGTCCCTCTTGCTGAGTTTGCAATAAACTCAAGTGTGAATAAATTGACAGGGTATGCCCCTTTCGAACTTATCTATGGGACAATACCCCATATGATGGTGGAAGTTCCACTGACTAACCTCCCTGGAGTGGGTGCCTTCGCACAGAAAGCATTAGATAACCTCCAGGGTGCCCATGATGCAATAATAAAAAGTTGCGTTGAGCAATTGGTCCAAGCCAATCAGCATTGGTGCCCAGATCTGCCTAAGCTGAAGGTAGGTGACTTCGCCTACTTGGTGTCAGGGCACGCCCCGACACACCCCACCCGATCCCCACTCCGCTTCCCCGCTCTGCACTGCCTCTCCCTCCTCTCCCTCTTCCTTTCTCCTGTTCTCCTTTCCTCCTTTCTTTCTTTCTCTCTTTCTCTTACATGGACCACCTTTCCCGCTGCTCAATGTATCACCAGCACGCATGCCCATTTCCCCTCCTGTATCTTACATCCCTATATTGCCGCCACCACCGCTGCATTCGCCCTGCACCCACAGCGGGCCCTCTCAGGATCTCCCGCGGAAGCACCCGGAGAGCCGTGGCTGTGTGCAAGGGTGACGTGGTGCACCCCACGTGATCGATCCTGCATGTATATAATAACAGCTGGAGTGGGAACCAAAGAAGTAGCCTTCTTCTCACATTCCCACTTCAGACTAAGTGGTCGGGGACACTCACCCCACGATGGGATCGCTATCCATCCCACCGAGTCCTGCATGCCAGGACCTTGCCACTTTCGGAGCTGTCCCTGACACTTGGCAACAAAGGACCTCAACCTGCCTAAGGGAAGAGCAAAGAAACTCCTCCCCAAATACGTCGGGCCATATGAGATCCCCGAAGCACCCAAGGATTTATCCAATTATACACTCAAGCTCCCTCCAGAGCTTCTCAATAGGGGTATTCACCCCAAGTTCCATGTTTCTCGCTTGGCCCCACACAAGCCAAACAACTCACTGCTATTCCTGGGTCAGGCTGCCCAAGTCTTCTATGACTTTGGTGAAGATCCTGAACAGGAATATCAGGTCCAGGAAATCCTGGATCATTCCTGGGACACTGGCGGTAGCCTGTGGTTCCGTGTCAAATGGGGCCTGGGGGATCTCACATGGGAGCCTCTCACTCATTGCGACGAATTGGCTGCATTAGATGACTACCAATTGTTACATGGAGTCAATGCAGTAGAAAGTTTGAATAAGGAAAGCAAATTTCCTTCTATTCCCACATGAGGGGCTAATAAAGCGCCCCATCCTACATGCTCCCAACAGACTACCCACTTGGGAATAGTCCTACGACCTAACAAAGGACAATAATGGCACTAGTTACCATATTTGGGTTTTGCCTCCGAGGGTATGAACATTGTTCCCATGGACAAAACTTCATCCTTCTTCTTTTCCTCCATCATGTCTGAGCAAGTGCAAGATAACTTCGGGAGAGAAATGCTGCCTGATGACGACCATGGGCAAAGTCCATGATTGAACACCACCCCCATGGACACTGAGACCACAGGTCCCACTTTAGGCAATGTTCAAAATACTTTGACACCGGGTGCTGAGGCCCCCAGCATCTCCAATATCCCTGATCCTACCCCGATACCAACAGTATCAGGGCATCCTTCCCCTGTGATGGATGTGCAAGCTACTGCAGCTTACACTGTGTCTGACCATCAGACAATGGGCCCGCAATTTTTTGTGGACTCGATGGCACCAGGACAAGCGCCACCATTGCCATACTTTAACCCCAATCTCTGGGGTTACTGCCCTTCCCTCCCTCATGGAGCACCCACTCCTGAAGCGGCTCACCAGCCACATGCTACAATGTCAGGGTCCTTCCTGACTGAACTCCTTACAGATGCAAACACCCGTGTTCGACATCTTGACGACAATGTTGTGGGGACAACTCCATGCACAGTAAAAAGTCAGATTCTGCGGAATTTACCCACCAACACACACTACACATCCGCTGATGCTCCCGATGCTCATTCTATCACTATCCAACACTCCATACACTCACTCCTTATTTTTCCATATTTTCCCCATCATTCCCGACAGTCCCAAGCCAAATTCCCACACCCAACCACGCTGCCAATTTCACCCCCTCTCCAGATCTCCATACCCACACATACAACCCAGCCGTTTTTCCACCCATTGGTGATGCTCTACCTTCCTTATTCACCCACAGAGCATTTCCCAGAATGGCAACCCCATATTCAGATGGTTCAGCATGGTGTAGGGTCTCACATGGTCTTGACAGCACCTGTCAATGGCCACATCTCAAGAACTACTGCACCAAATGGGGTGAATAAGGGCTCGTTGGAAAGCTGGAGACGAGGAGGTTGCTGACGGGAGGATCGGCGGGCGCTGTGGCGAAGTGTTGCGGAGTTAACTTTCACAATTCCCATTTCAGACCTGTTATCATATATTCCCCATTCATTCATATTTCTTTTATTGTTTCTTTGTTCCCAATTGGATATTCATTATTTACGGTTGCCTAACGGCCCGTTTACATTCCCCCATTCCATTCATTCCATTTCCAACTCATACAAAATAGATAATAGCTTGTACATAACAAGTGAGTACTGAATAGACCCGTGAAGGGGTAAGAAAGAGTTACATCCAAGTGGCAAAGATGCCATCCACGACCCTAACGCCCCCCTTGAGCTTGTTGCTTACGTCTAAGATCCCTCTGCTCATAACTCTCAGCCTTGACATCCAAGACAGATGTAGGTGAGTGTTTAGTTGAGGTTCTAGCAGACCCGGTAGCACCCCAGGACCAAAACCTGGCCCCACGAACCACACCTGTGCACACTACAACCCTCCCCCTCTTCTCTGTCTCAAGTCAAGGTGATTGACCCATTACAACGAACTGTCGCAGTCTCAAGAAGGGACTCGACGTATCCAAGAAGAAAACATAGGGCTCCATGAGGAACTCTTTAACATCAAGCTTGAGAACCAGTGTCTTACCAGCAAGTTGCAGGAGGTCTTGTTACACCGGGATTTCCTCCAACGAAAGTGCAACTCACTGGAAAGGGACCTCAAGGCATATGAAAAAGGTTGCAAGGAAGACAAGGCATCATGCCCTCAAAAAATCCCTTACACAGAAACACGTACCCAGAATGCCCCCATTGAGAGGGTGCATTGTGTAGACAACAACCCTCATCCACACCCTGGACCAGTCAAACTGGCCCATCCTCAAGTATCCATTGCTGACCCAACGGTGGGCCATAGGGCCCAATCCAATACATCCAATCCCAAGTTGGGAAAAGAGTGGGCACTGCATCACCCCCTTCTACCACTCAAATATTCGTGGTTCTGGCTACCTAGCCAGAATCACTCTCCTTCTCCTGGGACGTGGAGGAACATACCCATCCCAGGTTCCTTCCATGCCAACGACTTCATACATGGAGTTACCATTAGTGGCCAGAGATGGCTCATCACCACCAAAATAGGCCATCGTCAATGGTGATGGGACAACTTCATACTCCCATTCCTGAATACAGTGAATGGGTTCAAATTCCTGGTCAACCTCAAATGGATCAATCAGCAGGTTGGGACAGCTGGCATTATCAATGATGCCCTGGGTGATGTTCATGACCTTCATGCTCGTTACTTCAAGCTGAAATTCGAGGGCACAAGGAATCCTTCTGTGGATGACTTCAACAAGAGGTATGGGTACGTCCAAAGGACTCCCAAAATTCTCAACAAGGCAGGGATGAAGTACATCCTGCTGTTGTTGTGGAGGCATCATCCTTCCAACAAGGCAAGGGCCCGTAGGGTGGCCAATATGACTGCCTTCAAATTCTCGAAATTGCATGTGGGCGACTACCCCATGCCACCTCCCCCTCCATTGTGGTCAGGGCACTTCGTGCCTGAACCAGCTCCACCTGTGCCTCCACAAAAGACGTGGGTTTCTCTCTCTCAACTAATGGATGGTAACTATGGCCATCTACCCACCACCTATCCCCAACGAGGATGAGGATATGAAGAGTGATGGCGGGGTGACTACAGGGTCAGTTGACGAGGCTGTTCCTCTTCCTGAATGTCGTTTCCCTGCTGCGATCCGGTCTGAGACCAAGGCCACTGTTGCTGGCCCTTCAGACCTTTCTAGTGCTGCCATATTGGCTGCTGCTGACCCTTCCTCCAAGAAGGTTTAATCACCTTCTCTTCGTTGAGGTATATGTGCCTCATTTAACATGGAGGGGTTAATCACCCCCCTGTTCTATCATCTGCTCTGGTGTGTCATTTGTACCGCTGAGGCCTAACGGCCTCATCCATCATTTTGTTTTGTTTTGTTTTCTGCTCTGGGACCGTTGTAACAATGGTGCTGCAAAGGCCTAACAGCCTTTGCTTTACTATGTTCTCCACCCCATTCTCTGAACCATCATAACAATGGTTGTGTGAAGGCTTGATGGCCTTCACTTCCTTATTTTCTCTGATCTGCTGAAACAGTGGGTTGGTGGAGGCCTAATGGCCTCTACTTTATATATCTTTTCTTTGGTCTGTCGAAACAACAGACCCGTGGAGGCCTAACAGCCTCTACCTTGTATTAATTTCTGGATCCATCGAAACAATGGAGCTGTGGAGGCCTAACAGCCTCTACTTTCACTTAATCCTGAAACTGTCATAGTAACAGTTTCATCAAGGCCTAACAGAATTCTTGTAAAATTTTGAGGGGAATGGCTTAATCACCATTCCCTGCCTTATATCTATTTCTTGACAACTTCTTGTTATACCTGCCTGTGTGATATTAATATCACAAGGGAGGGTGTAAGGGAGATAGGCCGCATATGTCATATCCATCCCTGGCCATCGACTTCCACTCCCTCTGATCCCTCCGGTCTACCTCCACTCCCTCTTCACTAACCTCGGAGCTCCTGTATTCCGCAATCCCCTCGGTACCCCTCGATGGTCACCACCCCCTCCTTTCAATTTATTACCTATGCCTCCCTAAGTATGGAGCCCTGAAGGCTTCCAGACAGCTCCGACGTCCGCTAGCGCACTCCTGCCTCCGCTGGGCAATACACTTGCTTGCCCTGCAAGCCCACCTTCAGGCCTATCCCTCCTTTCCATTTCTGGGTTAATGCCTACCATTCCGTTAAACCTGTAACCCAACTCGTCGGTAATATTCAATCAGCTAATGTCTAACCCCATTAGCTCAGCTCCACCATTTGCAGGCCTGCCCTCATTGTAACTATATATACTCAACTTGTACATAGGTTACACCTCAGTAATAAAATCGACTAGAGTTTACCCCCTTCAGTTCTGGTTGCCAGTTTAGTAAAGTTAGGGCACGGATGTGTTACTTGGCACAATGCTCCTGGCATAAGTCGCTGAGGCCAAAGCCCTCCACCACAGAGACATTCCCTCATCTCAACCTGGTCTCTGACAGCATACTTGCAGCCTACCCTATTCATTCTTTATTTATCGCATCGGGTTTGTACCTGACATGACACTTCTATTCCCAAACCCTTCATTCTACCATGCGGTCCCAAGCTGCAAATATCACATGTACATACTATATATTTAACCTACATGTGAGGGGGTAAATGCTTCCCTCCCCCATTGATAAATACAGCTTCATACAGCATACTTTAACGGACTGGGAGTGTGAGGCAATAACTGACTATCATGAGATCACTCACAAACTCAACCATCTTAACAAGCCTTACAGTACACCTGGCTGGGCATTCACATGTTCATCAAGGACTACATGTCCTCCTGTACAGCATGCGCCTGCGCTAAGGCTCCACAACACAAGCTGTATGGCTTGCTCAAACAGCTACCTATTCCCAAATGCCCATGGCACTCCATATCAATGGATTTCATTGAGCACCTTCCCAACTCCTCCGGCTTCATGGCTATCTTGGTTATCATCGATCGGCTATCAAAGCAGTGCATCTTCGTGCCAACAACTGATACCATAACAGCCCCAGAGTTGGCGAAGTTGTTCCTCCTCCATGTCTTCTCCAAGCACAGTGTTCCCTCCCACATAACCTCCGATAGAGGTTTAGAATTCATCTCCCACTTCTTCCGCTCTCTTGGCAAGGCCCTGGACATTCACCTACACTTTACCTTGGGTTACCATCCCGAAGGCAATGGTCAGACCGAACAAATGAACCAAACACTGGAGCAGTACCTGCATGTCTATTGTAACTACCAGCAGGGCAATTGGTCTGAGCTCCTGCCTCTGGCTGAGTTCACCTACAATAACATGCTGAATGCTACAACCGGTGTTTCACTGTTCTTTGCTAACAAAGGTTACCACCTGAACTGTTTGGCTCACTAATGGAGGTGGCTGTGTAGCCATCAGAGGGAGAGCAGAATGGGATGAGTGTCTGGAAGTACAGCCTGTGGGTTGGCCAACAGTAACTTGGCACTCCTGGGAACATACCGGTAGCGAGTATAACATGGGCTCCTTGAGGGAGCCACCTGGCTGTCTGCTAATGGGGACTTGGCACTCCTGGGAGCGTGCTGGTAGCGTGCTGGGAATGGTTGGCTAGTGGTGACTTGGCACTCAATGGAGTGTACCAGCAGTGTGGGATACTGGGACTCCCTTTGGGAGTCACCTAGTTGGTGGCTATTGGTGACTTGGTGCTCATGGGAGCATACCAGTAGCAGGAGTTGTTGGGGAAAGTGGGCTGGTGGACCAGTGCACGGTAGTGGGTGACCGTGGGAAGCAGGACCCATGGGTGCATGGCCAGGCATCCTGGAGCTGCCTGGACCATATCCCTCTCCTAAGGAGGTGGGATAGGCTACAGTTCCTGATAAGGGACTATTGGATGGATGGGAGTGACTGCTCAACCACCCGGTGGACTGGTGGGAGCAGGCAGCAGGAGGTTGGGCATGGGAATGCCCTCCTCATTGCAGTTTTGTCATGGAAAGGATGAATAGGGAGGTGGACATGGTTCCAGGGTTACAGGTTGAGTGTACAGTGGTGGCACAATGGTGTGACAGTTACACAAGGTTTGTAGGTTATGTATTCAATAAGGAAAAACATATTGCCATTTGCCATACATGTCATATGACTTGTGTCTATCTAATACAAAGGTTGTAATGGCCAAGGGAAGTCCCTTGGAAATCAACAAATCCCCCAGCCAGCACCAAAACCCAGTGGGAAAGCTTGGCATGGGGTTTGGCAAAGAACAAAGTGAAGGGAAGGAAATGTCTTACCTGTGTGCATGGTCGATAGGAATCTCCATTTCCATAGCATGAACCTTGCCATACACCTGTCAGGGCACAGCCCCTGACCCCACACACCCTCAGGTACCCTTCCCCCATTTTCTCCTATTTTTCCCTTCACTGTTCCACAATCCCGCATGCACACAGACCCGTGGGAATGTTCTGGGCAAGTTACTCACCCAGAAACCATCACAGCCATGACCGTGGGAACTTTCTGGGCGAGCAGCTCGCCCAGAATCTTCCCACGGGGGGGTGCCAATTATGGAAAGTTGGCAAAGAGCCAAAAACTGTATAGTTCCCAACTCCCATTTGTAGCGGCTTCACAGGAGGTTGAGAAGGTTACCCTTCTTCTCAACTCATTTCCTGTGAAGGCTGGGGCTAGCCCCCTCAGTGAGTTTGAGGATCTCGGACTGGGACTAGACACCCCAGCATCTAGGAGGATCTCCTTGGCCCTGTCACGGAACGAGGGCCAGACCCTGACAACACCCCAAGCGAGATCTGACTTCAGTGCGAGCCCAGGAATACTCAGTCAATCTCGACTCTCTCTCCACCAATTTCTGTGAGGAAATGAACCATGCACAGCAGCACTATAAAGGCCCTGCAGATGCTTGACAGCTACCTGCTCCCCTGTTCAACATTGGAAGCTCCGCATTCATGAAGGCCAAGTACTTCCACACCACTAGGCCTTTGGTGAAGCTCACCAATAAGAACCTTGGGCCATTTGAGATCATTGCACAGCCAGGTTCTCACTCTTGTACCCTCCACCTCCCTGACACCATGAAGGCTGTGTGCCCAGTCTTTCATGTCTCCCAACTTGAGCCCGCTGTCCCCAACTCCATCCCGAACCACATGCAGCTGCCACCACTGCCAATCAAAATCAACAGCAGACTTGAGTACGAGATCACCAAGATCCTCGACTCTAAAATCGATCACCAGTGAAGCTGCAAGCTGTTGTATCTCATATGTTGGGACGGTTACGAAGGGATGACAGAAGAGACTGAGTGGCTCCCTGCAACTGAACTTGGTCACGCTTCAGACCTCGTTGCGGACTTTCACTCACAATACCCAGATAAGCTGGGACCAACATGCACCTAAGACATGGGATGGAATGGATGGATTGCACTTAAGGATCATGTAAGAACAAAGTGGAGTAGGAGTTGGAAGTGAATGTTGTGGGCTGATCAACTCTTGACCCTGTCATGCTCGCCTCCCTCTCCCCCACTTCCCTTGCCTCACACCTTGCCCTTGCCTCCATCAATTGCCTCTCCTCAGTGTCACAGACATGTTCCAACAGTTGTCCTGCCACGGTGGTTAGACCAGAGATCACTTGATGGATGTCATGAAGCACCTCATAAATCCTGTCCTTGCCTGTCCTTGTCATTGACCACCTCATCCTCCTCCATTTTCACATCGTCCACATCCATTGTTGACCCCTCTCCTTTCAGTGCCTTGATATGGGGTCACTTCATAGCTTGAGGCATCCTGCCCCATGTATGCCTGGACTTCTGACATGCAGTGCAGATGCCACAGTCACTGTTGCCTTTAACGCACCCCACACCTCTCTTCACACAATGCTCACAGGGTGGTAGCCCTTCCCCCACCACCGATGTAGCAGCAGGACACTTTGATCAGGAT